TATTTAATAAGAAAGTAATTACTTCAAAGTCATTAGACCTTGTCATAAACAGTATGGGTAATAAAGTAAATAAATTTATAAACTATTATAGTGAAAAAGATCTCCTATTAATATTGAGATTCAGATGAGATTTAAAATCAGACTAAGGTCAAAAGTGTCCTAGTCCAAAGAAAAGTCTGGTTAAGAAAGGTGGTAAAGTTTGGCAGTAGATACTATAGATTCAACATGTAGCAATTCTGTGGAAATCCATGAACATGAGGTGGAAGCAAGCTGGAGCACACATGGATGAGGGAAAGAGCAAAATACAGAAACAATATTCAGGAAAGTTTATTAGAGACTACCAACCAGATGTGTCCCTGATAGACTAGAAAACTGGCACAGAGAAACATCCTACAGTTATAGGAAGGGAACAGGTATCAACAATTATGTATGAAGTGTTATTAGATTAAGTGCAGTACCTTTACAAGTTCTTAACTTAAAGGATGACATTTCCACACTACCTGTGAGAACTGCCATTCTGAAGTGAAATACTAAAAAATAATTATTAGTCATTGTCAAAGTGGAAAGAATAAAAGCAGAAATTAAGCACGCTATCCTTATATATGAGAAAAGGGAGGCTTCAATATCATAAATATTACTTTACAGAAGGTGAAAATGAGTCCATGATTTTGAGATTCTTATCAAGGAATAAGGACAAGAGCATTTGGAAACTTTCAAAAGACCAAGTTTTACTTTTTAACTAAAATTTTTAAACCAAATTTCCTTCTAAATAATCGTTTTAAAAAATGAGAGAGAGATGTTTGGAATTGTACCAGCAACTCCGAAATAATCGCAGATCGAGAGACTATTTACATTAAGGATGGAATGAAGAACCTATCACCAAAGATGAATAAAAGAAATCCACACATCTGAAAATAGTGACAGCAAGGCTGAGTTGAAAATGAGTTTAACCTTGCAGAAAATGCAAAGAAAACTCAAGAAAGGGTTTCTTTGGTCATGCTTACGGAAAGACCCCCAAGCAATAGATCAGATTATGAAGTGATCCCACAATGCTTTTGGTATTCAATATGAGTTCATATCTTCTAGCCTGTTGTTGTTAGGTGTCGTCCAGTCAGCTCTGACTCTTAGTGACCTCATGTACAACAGAACGAAACACTGTCCAGTCCTGTGCCAGCTTCACAATCCTTGCTATATCTGAGCCCACTGTTGCAGCCACTGTGTCAATCCATCTTGTTGAGGGCCTTTCCCTTTTTCGCTGACCCTCCACTTTATTATCAAGCATGATATCCTTCTCCAGGTAATGGACCTTTCTGATAACAAGACCAAAGTGGGTGAGACAAAGTCTGGCTATTCTTCCTTCCAAGGAGCATTCTGGCTGTATTTCTTCCAGGACAGATCTGTTCTGGCAGTCCACAGTACTTTCAGTATTCTTGGCCAATACCACAACTCAAAACCATCAACTCTCTCCTTTGGTCTTCCTTATTCATTGTCCAGCTTTCACATGCATATGAAGTGACTGAAAACACCATGGCTTGGGTTAGGCACACCTTAGTCTTCATAGAGACATCTTTGCTCTTCAGCACTTTAAAGAAGTCTTTTTCAGTAGATTTGCCCAGTGCTGTATGTCATCTGATTTCCTGACTGCTGCTTTCAATGGTGTCGATTGTGGAACCAAGTAATATATGAAATCTTTGACAATTTCAATCTTTTCTCCATTTATCGATGCTGCTTATTGGTCCAGTTGTTAGGATTTTCATTTTGTATATGTAGAGGTGTAATCCATCCTTCAAAATGTAGTCTTTAATCTTTACCAGTAAGTGCTTCAAGTCATCTTCACTTTCAGCAAACAAGGTTTTATTGTCTGCATATCACACAGGTTTGTTAGTAAGTCTTCCTCCAATTCTGACTCACATTCTTCTTCACAAAGTCTAGCTTCTCAGGTTACTTGCTCAGCATACAAACTGAGTAAGTATGGTGAAAGAATACAACTGTGACACACTCCCTTTCTGATTTCAAACCATGGAATATACCCTTGTTCTGTTTGATCAACAGCCTCCTGATCTACGTATAGGTTTCCTCGTGAACACAATTAAGTGTTCTGAAATTCTTTCTTCTCAATGTTATCCAAGTTGTTGGTTTTACAAAATTCTATCATGTGATCTACAGCATCATTCTATCACTGAGGCCGTATTTTCCAACTACACGTGATTCTTTACTTCCAACTTTCGCACGTCAATCACCAGCAATAATCAATACATCTTGATTGCATTTTTTGGTTGATTTCAGACTGCAGAAGTTGGTAAAAATCTTTAATTTCCTTATCTGTGGCTTTGGTGGTTGGTGTGTTGAATGGTAGTAGTATTAAATTGGTCTTCCTTGTAAATGTTTGGATACTATCCTATCACATTTTTAAAGTACAGCACTGTAATTCAGGATAGATCTTGAAACATTCTTTGTGATGTTGAATGTGACTCCATTCCTCTTCATTTTGTCATTCCCAGCATAGTAGAGCATATGGTTGTCTGATTCAAAATGGCCAAGACCAGTCCATTTTAGCTCACTAGAATGCCTAGGGTATTGATCTTTAAGCATTCATTTCATTTTTTACAATTTCCAGTTTTCCTAGCTTTATACTTAATACATTCCACGTTCTGATTATTAATGCATGTTTGCAGCTGCTTCTTCCCATTTTGAGTTGTGCCACATCAGCAAATGGAGGTCCCAAAAGCTTTATCCATCCTTATCATTAAGGTCAACTCTACCTGGAGGAGGCAGCTCTTCCCCAGTTGTATTTTGAGTGCCTCCCCACCTGATGGGCCCATCATCTGGCACTATATCAGACAATGTTTCAGGGCTATTCATAAAGTCTTTCAGTAATATATGAGACAATGTTTTACTGCTATTCATAACTGGCCAATACTTTGAGAAGTGGATGACCCCTTCCTTCTTCCAAGTCTGTTTTAGCTGGAAACTCTGTTGAAACCTGTCCATAATGGGTGACTCTGCTGGTATTTGAAATACTGGTAGCATAGTTTCCAGCCTCACAGCAACATGCAAACTGACAGATGACTGGTGGATCCTAGGGAGATGAGGGTACTTGTAACTTATAAGGGCTGAAAGACTGATGTGATTTAAGGATTGCAGAAACAAGGAGTGTTGCAAGGTGAAAGGATACATTTAGATAGCTAAATGTTACATTACTTTTCTCTAAAAGACAAAGAAATTAGACTTTGCCAGCAACAGACTGGAGGCAGCATTGCACAATGGTAAAAAGCAAGGGCTCTGGAATCAAATAGCTTAAATCCTAGATTTGGCACCTATTCTCTCTTGACCCTGAGCAACTAATTTCTCTCTTGTCTTTAGTTTTCTCTGCTATAAAATGGAGAATAAAAACATCTGCCTTAAATGGATGACTGGGAGGAAATGAGGTAGAATATACCTCAACTGCAAACAATAAACATCAATAAGCTAATTCTTTTACCTCTGGTGAGCCTGACACTCATCTCAGACAAGATCGTAGAAGAAGCCAATAAAGCTTATGAACACCTAGAAGATGGCTTCACCAAGAATAAACAACATCAGATTCACCTCTTATCTTTCTTTCATAGGTTAACTATATCACCTAGGTAGGTAAAAATCTGGTTTGCGTAGATTATAGAGTTGGGTAATACACCCTTCTCACCCTTTCCTGCAATTTTCTCCAGCCTCCCAACCCTGTCATCCAAATCAATACACATCTCCAGATCTACAGGAGGAATAAAAAGCCTCGTTAGGGAAACAACTCACATAGCATTCATAAAATAAGCGATTCTGACTTAAAATAACTATTTAGTGAGGTTGGATGGGGAAAAGGATGCATGAGGAAAAACCTGAGATCAATAAACTGGATTTGCCAATAGAGACTGCGGTTGGAGGGAAAATCGGTGTGGGCAAAGATGGTGATTATTACTTGAACGTTTTCTGATCCAAACCTGGCAGTTTGTGAAAATACTGGGAAGAAAAGGCTTAGCATAAAATAAAAAATGCTGTTCTCCTCAGGTTAGGTGCTAAATTAATGCATAGTGATATAACCAAGATATGCATCAACAACAAAAAGATCTTCAATATTTTTGCTGTGTAAACTCCTAAAGTAATTCTGAAAAGCAATGTATTCCCCTCATACATATTTAAGTTGGCATCCAAAAATTTTCATCATAAATTTAAATAGCTACAAAGAATATATTAATTTCTGGGTATTGTACATAATGATATTTAAAAACAGATTGTTACATCATTTCAAAATCTATTCAGAAGAACCCAAATAGCATAGCAATTATACTCATTATCATCCATCTGAAAAAAAAATAATGCTTCTTTAACAAATGGAAATTTTACAGTTTGCTAAACCATTTCCCCATTCAAAGTCCTTCTAAAGTGTATGCCAAAAATTCTGTAATAATCTTATCAACAAAAATTATTTTCCATGACACCAAGCAATTTGTTTGACAACAAAATATTGAAAATCACTTGATGTACACACATATTTGACATTTACTCTCCCTAAACTGATACTTGTATTCCAAATTGCAACGTAAGTCTGGAAACATTTCAGGTCTTGGTTTTAAAAAAGTGACTGAAAGAAGGAAAACAGAAGCTGCTTGAGAAGTTTTCTTCTCAGGCAGATGAATATTAAGCAGTAAGATTTATAGAAGTTTAAGATCTGTAAATGATGCCCTTAAAACCATGCGTTTACTTTATTATAGGCATCTGTGCGACGCTGTGGTGAAAGTAATGGGCTGTTAACCAAAAGGTCAGTGCTTTGAACCCTTAAGCTGCTCCATGGGAGAGAAAGATGAGGCACTCAGCTTCCACACAGATTTACAGCCTTGGAAACCATACAGGGCAGTTGTACTCTGTCCTATAGGCTTGCTATGAGTTAGAATTGACTTGATGGCAGTAGGTTTGGTTTTGGGGTATATCCAGAGATATGCATAATCCAGTTTAAAGACTGCTCAGTTAGGTAATCTATGTAGTAAATGCTAGAAGCATTTATTAAGGAGTGTTGGTGGCGCTATAGTTAAAACGTTCCGCTGCTAGTTGAAAAGGCAGGTGGTTCAAACCCACCAATGTAGTGCCTCTGTGGGTCAACCCACCAATGTAGTGCCTCTGTGGGTGAAAAGACCTAGTGATCTGCTCCCATAAGGATCATAGCCTAGGAAACCCTACAGGACAATTCTGAGCACTTAGGGTCACTATGACTTGGAATTGACAACACCCAACAACAATACTTATTAAGCCTTTAACCAAACCCATTCCTATCGAGTTGATTCTGACTCATAATGACCCCCACAGGGTTTCTAAGGTTGTAAATCTTTATGGAAGTAGACTGCCCCATCTTCTTCTCATGGAGCAGCTGATGGGTTTGAAACACTGACCTTCTGGTTAGCAGCCAAATGCTTTACCCGCTGTGTCATCAGAGCTCCTTTATTAAGCCTTTACTGTACCTCTATAGTGATAAGCTCTTTACATACGCTATCTCATTTAATGCTTAGAAGAACTCCTTTATGGATGAGAAAACAAGAGAGTTAAGCTCCTTGCCATTGTTTCATAGGTATTAAGTGGTAGTATCTGGGTTTGAACACAGACTCTCAAGCTTAACAACTAATCTATATTGCTGAATTCAGTTTAGGGAGCCTACAGGATATTGCTTATTACTGTTGAGCTCAGAGCTCTTACCGTACCTCTTTCTTTAGCTAATTTTTATAAATGATTTTAAATATATACCAAATGTGCTTGATAAATATACAAATGGCATTAACTGGAAGTAACTAAATTAGTGTCCAAGAAAATCCTGACACGAGCACAAACAACTAATTCGTACACAATGAAATTTAAGTCTGTATAGTCTATATATGTTGTTGTTGTTGTTGTTATGTGCCGTCGAGTCGGCCCCGACTCATAGCGACCCCTCCTTGGGTTTCCGAGGCAGTATCACTACAGAAGTAGGATTGCCCAAAACCAAAACCAAAACCAAACCCACTGCCATCAAGTTGATTCCAACTCATAGTGACCTCTATTGGGTTTCCAAGGCTGTAAATCTTTATGGAAGTAGATTGCCTCATCTTCCTCCCATAGAGCAGCTGGTGGGTTTGAACTGTCAACTTTCTAGTTAGCAGCCAAATGCCTTATCCACTATACCACCAGAGGTCCTTGTACACAGTAAACGACTGTCATATTAAGAGGAATGAGATTGGTCCTCTATGGTCTAAAAGAGGTAGATAAAGAGGGCAGATTTGCAATTATCAGTATGAAAAGCTTTCCACGGGTCAAGTCAGGTCATTATAGATGAAACAAAGGGTCTTGGGAGGTAATGGAAGGTGCCCTGGTGGCAGTCTGCTTCTTTAACAATTATAGCCTTGGAAACCCTATGGGGCAGTTCTACTCCATCTTATAGGGTTCACTATGATTTGGAATCAATTCAATGGCAACAGGTCATGGGGAAGTAATGAGTCACTGCCACTAGAGATGTACCTACCACATGGAGAACAGGTGGGAGTACTTTGTGTGTGAGTTCGGTGGGGTGGGGTAGGGTGGTGTAGGGTGGGGTGGGGTGGGGGCGACTGGGTAGGTGGGGAATACTTTTAGTATTAACTGAGAGGTTGAAATATAACCTTTAAGGTTTCTATCAATCCTGAGAATTTTTAAGTAATTTTCTAACATAGCTAAGGCTTAAAATTGCATATATCAGTTCTATCTGGAATTGTTTTTCAAAACCACTGGAAGGATCTCTTGGGGCAAAACTTTTATGTAGATTTTTGAAGGTTAGGTTTGTAACCCAGAGCTATACAATCATAAACTCATAATATCATAAACTGTCATCACTGATCCTGATTCCTTTGCTGCGGGCTCTTAAAAAAGCTCCACTGACATCTCCTTACAAAGATGTAATATTTCTAAGTTGTCTTAGAGTAACCAAACCCACTGCCATAGAGTTGATTACAACTCACAGCAACCCTTTAGGACAAAGTAGATCTGCTGCGTAGGGTTTCCAAGGCTCTAAGTTTTTATGGAAGCAGACTGCCTCATTTGTCTCCTGTGGAATAGCTAGTAAGTTTGAATCACTGACCTTCTGGTTAACAGACAAAATGCTTTAACCACTAATTCATAAGAGCTCCTCAGAGTGACAATTATCTTAAAGTCTTTTCAATAAAGTTTATAATCCACAAATAAGTGTGATGGTATCATTTTAGCAGTCATCACACAACTTAGAAAGAGACTTAACTTAAAACAATCTTTAAAGTAAAATAATCTGGAATTTCAATTGCACAATTATTATTACTTGAAGCAAGAGCTAAATTTGTTCCAATATATTTGCTCACATGAACAAACAGCAATGTGTAGATCAGGCACCTCTCCTAAGAGAAATCCATGCTTTTTATACTGCCCCTCTGTTCTTTGTGAGTCCCAAATTATATCTTACCTTGCACTGAAAATCAGATCCTTCATATTTCATACACCCAGAAGCTAATGTGGTTTCTCCCTGGTCATCTTCTTCTATGATGGCAAAGCAATGCCCATTAGTTCTAGAAGGAAAAAAAAAAGCATAATTTTGTATCAGAAAATACTCATTAAGACTGAGTGTGAATGCCACCTATATTGATGCCTTGTGTTTTGAATCAGATTTGTATTCACGCGTAATTTACTGGCAAAACCAAGCAGCTGTTAAGGCAATGAAAACTGGTCTGCTATGTCTGAACCAAGACCTAATGGGCCAATGAGAACTCTCTGTCAGGTGGAAACGGCTTTTTAATAAACAAAAACCTCTGCTTATCAGTCATGTGATCACAGAAAGGTGATGGATAAAATTTTATGAAGTATATGATCTTAATGTGTCAAATCTATACTTAAAATTAACTGTCTCTTATCCATAAGATTTCCTCCATTCATATATTTTATATGAAAATAAAAACAAACTTTCCTATGAAACAAACAAATTCAAAGACAAAGGAAAGTGTATTTGAGAAGAACAGATTGGCTGACAATCTGAGATGTCACATTTTACTGATGGTGAAAGGAAAAAAAAAATATATAAATTTATTTATATATTCATTAAGACCTTAATGGTTAATAAATCCAAACATCTATGGTTAGCTGACTTTGGACAAGGGAGCCAAATCCATTCAATGGGGAAGAAGCAGTCTCTTCAACAAATGCTGCTGGCAAAACTAGATTTTCACATGCAATAAAAAGAAGCAAGGTCCATATTCTCATGCCATACACACAAGCTAATTCAAAATGGATCAAGGATTTAAATGTTGAATCTAAACCATTAAGTTCTTTGGGGCGGTAAAAAAAAGAGCAAAGCTTTGAGACAAAATTATTTTCAATGACACATTAGAGAACAATGAATGCATGAGCAACAGAAAACAAAAAAGGTAACTGGGACCTCATACAAATTAAATACTTATCTTCATTGAAAGATAATATCGAAAGAGTAAAGAGACAACCTGCAGACTGGGGAAAATATCTCTGGGAATGATATAATCAATAAGAGCGTAATATCTAAAATATATAGAAAACTACAACTTAGCAACAAAAAGACAAATAACCCAATTAAAAAACGGGCAAAGGACTAAACAGACACTTCACCAAAGAGGATATTCAAATGGCCAATGGACACATGAAAAGATGCCCAACGTCATTAGCCATCTGAGAAGTGTAAATGAAAACTGTAATGAGGTATCATTTTATTCCCAGAAGGATGGCCAAAATAAAAAGAAAACAAAAAGAGGAAAATAACAAGTGTTAGAGGAGGAATGTGGAGAAACTGGAATGCTCATACATTGCTGGTGGGAAGGCAAAATAGTATTGGTACAGCAGTTGTAGAAAACAATTTGGTGGTTCCTCAAAAAACTGGAGCTAGAGCTGCCATATGACCCAACAATTACTCTCCCTAGGGACATATACCCTAGGGATACATTGAGGGGTCTAATAGAGGTAATATGCACACATGTTCACTGCAGTACTAGTCACAATAGCAAAAAGATGAAAAAAACCTGAAGTACCTATCAACAGATGAAGGGTAAGTAAAATGCAGTACATACATACAACAAAATACCACTCAGTGATAAAGAAAAACGAGTTCCCAAAACCTGTCACAACATGGATGAAACTGGAGGACACTATGTTGAAATGAAGTAAGTCAATCACAAAAATATTGTTATGTATTCACTTTTACGAGATGACTTGAATAGGTAAATATACAAAAACTAATGTTCATGGCACAGTGGTTAAGTGTTCAGCTGCTAACTGAAAAGTCAGCAGTTCGAACCCATTAGCCACTCTGTGGGAGAAAGATATTGCAGTTTGCTTCTGTAAAGATTTATAGCCTTGGAAACTCCATAGGGCAGTTTTACTCTGCCCTAAAGGGTTGCAGGGAGCTCTGGTAGCATAATGGCTAAGATACTTGCCTGCTAACCAGACGGCTGGCAGTTCAAATCCACCAGTCACTCCTCGGAAGGAAGGTTGGGCAATCCTACTTCTGTAGTGATACTGCCTCAGAAACCCAAGGAGGGGTCACTACGAGTCAGGTTTGACTCCACGGCACATAACAACAACAACAACAACAACAACAACAACAAAGGGTTGCAATGAGTCAGAATCGACAGGATAATACATTTTCTTGTTTTGTTTTGTAATGCTCATTAGTGGTTGAGGGGGAGAGAGGGCAGGGAGGAAGAGGGAAAAGTTCTCCCTAGGTAGTAGTCACTTTTTGTTTATAGAAGTGGGAAAGGTGGCACTGAATATGGTTTTGCATAGCATGACTGATGTAACTAATGTCAATAAGCTGTACATAGGGAAAATGCAAATACTAAGTTATGTATGGTTTTGCAACAATAACAACAGCCAAAAGAAAAAGGAGGGGGTATAGGTGCCTATAAGGAGGTCTAGTGACATAATGCCTAAGGCATTTTTAATGCTAACCAGAAGGTTGGTGGTTCAAATCCACCAGTCACTCTGTGGAAAGAAGACTGGGCAATCTACTTCCATAAAGATTTACCATCTCAGAAACCCAGGGGAGGTTGCTGAGTGGAAATCTACTTGATGGCAGTGTTTTTTTTTTTTTTTTTTAATAGGTGCTGATATTAGACATAACCAATCATCTCATGGGATTGGTACTGTTGGTTTGGGGGTTTAGGGCCATGGTATTGTGGAATAATCCAATCAACTGGTATACCATAGTTCTTAAAGTTTATGTTCCACTTCCTAGTATGGTGAGTAATGTCTGGATCTGAGAAGTTTATGAGCAGCCATATAATATACAACTATTGGTCTTTATTCATGTGGAAGTAAAAGAGAAAGAAGGAAACCTAAGCATCAGAGAAGGAACTAAAATACAGGACTAACTGTCTACATGAACCACTTCCTCCTGTACCTCAGGACCAGAAATGGATGGTGTTCACCTACCAGTGCTGAACATTCTGATCAGAAAGAGAGGAAAACGCAAAACAGAACTTCAAATTCTTAGTGAATCCAGATTTACTGGACCCAGAGAGTCTATACAAGTCCCCAAGACTATGGCCCCGAGTTGCTCTTAAAACTTGAATTGAGACTATCCTCTGAAGTCACCTTAGAACTAAGTTAACAGCTGTTCTCAGAGTAAAGATTGTTACCAATTTTACCCAGAGTTACTAAGCCACTAACAAATAGCCCATATATATTAGGCAGGTTCTACTGATAATAATAGTAATTACTTGGTGACTGTGGGAGCTCAGGTGACATAGTGCCTCAGGCATTTGACTACTAACCAGAAGGCCGGGGGTACAAATCCACCAGCCACTCCTCAGAAGGAAGGTTGGGCAATCTACTTCCATAGTAACACCGCCTCAGAAACCCAAGGAGGGGTCCCTATGAATTGGATCTGACTTGACGGCAGTGAGTTTGGTTTTTTTTTGGTGGTGATACGAATTCCTTTAGGTGGCTTTTTGCCTTGGTTCTTTGCTTCAGACGTTTTTTTCCCTAAGCCCTGAGAAGTTACCTTTGTCCCAGTTTTCTACTAGAGGGTTTGTTACCTTTGTCTAGGTTGACTGACATTTCCTGTAAACCATTTGTGGTTTGATAATTTTTTGCCTGGTCCTGCCCTGTGACTGGTGCACAACTTGAAAGGACTGGTCAACAGAGTATGCAAATGAGGTGACTATAGCTTACTATGCAAATGTCTGTGGCAGTAACACTGAAGGTGGCGACAGGCCCAGAAGGGGCCCAATAGCAGAGTTGGTGACAGGCAGCAGGGCCTAGAGGAGGCCCATCTGTCAAGAGGAGCTGAGAAAGCTGTCCTGCACCAAAAAAGGGAAACTTTGTCTACAAGCTTACTGATCCTGAATTATATAGCCTGTTACTTCTTTCATAAACCACTGTCTTGGTTCTCTAGTGCTACTGTAACAGAAATACCACAAGTGGATGGCATTAACACACAGGAATTTATTCTCTTACAGTTTAGGAGGCTAGTAGTCCAAATTCAAAGTTCTAGCTCTAGGGACTGTGTGAAGGCCCTCGACCTTAAGCTTCAGCTCTGCCTCTTATTCCAGGCACAGTGGTGCTAGAGGTGTCTTCTAACTCAGACTGATGAGGAGGGATAGCTGGTGTTAAAATTGATAAAAAAGGCTGGAGGGAGAAGGTATGTCTGACTTCCTCCTCAACAGGATTAGCCTTGGGCTGATCTTGATTCACATTTTACTCCCTGAAGTTACTAGACAGAGTTGGATGATTCTACTACTACCACCACCATTTTATTGCCTCCACAAACCATAGCCTCAATCTATCTTGAGACCAGAACTAGATAGTGCCTGGCTACTAACACCATCCATTATGACCAGGGATACAACCAATAGTCCCAGATAGAAGGGGAGACAATGAACAATAAAACTAAAATTCTTTTTTTGTGTGTGTGTGTGTGTGAATTGGGTGAAAGTTTACAGAGCAAATCACTCTTCCGGTCTCATAGTTGTATAGGCTGAGGAAGGCATGGTGTACCAGTTGCTTGGACTAATTCTTTCCACGAATTTTTGGTTTTCTTCATTCTTTTTGCTCTGGATGAGGAGAGACTCATTGTCGCATCTAGAGGGACACTTACAACCTTTTAAGATCCTGGTCACTACTCGCCAAAGTAGGATGTGGAACAGTATTTTGTATAGCATGTTATGCAAATTGAGCTTGATGTCCCCTGTGACTATGGTCCCAAGCCCACAGGTCCAACTACTTGCTCCCTCTGTATGTTGCTCAAGAAGTGACTACAACCTTGCCTCTTGTCAGCTCTACTATATACATGGGAATTCTTTTTTTTTTTAATTTTGATTTGGGTGAAGATTTACAGAGCAAATTCACTTTCCATACAGCAGTTCACATATACTTTGTCTCATGTCATTGACCA